AGCTGCAATTAAGTAGCCACGTCTATGGCACTCCAAATAGCGACAGTTAAGAACCCAACAAGTTTAGAGATAACATTTATTCTATACAATCGCTATTTTCAATAAAATACAAATAAAGAGAAGTACACGCTGTGGACAACAGGACAATAAACTATGCAATTGGCCACCCGATTTTAATTAACACTGCGAAAGTTTGGTCATTGGTGATTAAGATCACAGTAGACCAAACACCACGTAAACGTGATTTATATTCAGGAAAAATCTGAGCCAGCGCGTATGGATGTCAAAAGGCATCAAACAAAATCCAGACATACTGCACACAATCATCTAACGCTATTAAGACGGCATATTTACAACATTAATCGAGATAAAATTACTACCTTTATGAAACCATGCCCTGTGAATGCCGCCATTGGGTTATGCAGAGCTTCGTATGTTTCGAGAGATGCGCGTAACTCTAGCGGAATTTCAGTTTGGATAATGCAGCTAGTTAAACTCTAACTTATCCCGGCTGGATCTCGACGACAACGATTATTGCCACGGTTGTCGGGTCCGCGTAATTGGAATGACCGACATTTATATACGACTGCGACTTTAGCAACATTTCTCAAAACTGTTTGGGGTATTTTTGAAGTCAAACTTCTTTAGTGACGATAGTTAACTAAAAAACATCATGAAATATGCGAAACTTACAATACATACCGTCTTCGTTAAAATTGAGAGAGAACTATCGAAATGTGCTACGCAGGAATTCAAGGTTGAGACTAAGGCAAAAGCTCAAAATATAAGGCTAAAACGAAGATGAGTAAGAAGACTATTGCGAATACTCAGACGAATACGAAGACAAAGATCTAACCCTGATTAGTTCGGCGAAATCTCGTTGTTCGTCCATGGCAGGGTAAGCATAAAGTCAAACCCAGGCCCAAAAACTTACACCTGCTGCATATACCAGAGATGGTAACCGCAGATGTGCCCGACATGCGGAGAGTCACCTCGTGACTCACTAAAAATAAAATATTTTCTTGTGTTCTATTTATTAAAATAATGTGATTACATACTTGCAAGTTCTAAAAAACAGAGCTCGTAAAGCCATGAAAGAACTATCTCGCTTTGAGGAGTTAAATTTTTGGAGAGCAATAAATAAACTCCTCACACGTTCGGCTCACTCGTGAATTTGCATGTGATGTATGTATTTGTCAAATAGTTTATTTGTGTTGATGGCATCATTTTTATTTTTATCGCTCCGAGTTTTAAAGTGATGCGCAAAATATGCGTCACCCGCATTTTTAAAACACAAAACTGCAAAGCTTTTTACGCCAAACTTCAAATTCACAAACTGACAAAAAACAAAAGATGGAATCTAGATAAATCGATGATAAACAGACAAGCAAGCAACAAGCTCAAGAAATGTTCCACCGCCTCATTCTCTTCAAAGCAGGATGGGCAAATGGAGTTGTCATTTACGCCTATCACAGTCAGGTGTTTGTGCCACGTGAAGTGACCAGTCAGCAGTCCCGTCTTCTTAGTGGGAGGAAAAAACTAGATAGACCTTCTGAGATTGAAGGCAACATGAGTTTTGCCCACCTGCATCCACTCCATGGCTCCCAGTCATTGCTGAGCGGAGTGTCCACCCAGATTCTGATGGTGGCTTCGATGGTCGAAGTGAGGAGTGCTATAACTGGTTGCGGGTCGAGGAATACTTGGTCTAAGCCAATTGTGGCCAAAGGGTCAGATGTCTCATTTCCAGGCACTCCCGAGTTGGCCGGCATCCAGAGTAAAGCAAGCTCGTTATCTTTACCAACATAATTTAGTCGAAACTTGCATTTGCGAAATATGTTGATGATGATGATGACACAAAGTGACGGTAAGTTAACCAGTGCGTCAAGAGCACTATACATTAAAGTTAAATAAATAGGCTATCAAGCAAACATTTTGGTTTTTTATTTATTTATTTATTTATTTATTTGGTCTACAGAAAAATGTTTTCTTACAGACAAATTAGAATAGAACATTTAGATATTTAAGTATGTATAGTATATTACAGAATTGACTAATTATACATAGTAATTTATAATAATAGTAATAATAATAATAATAACATAAAATAGCAGGTTTGGTAGCGGCGAGGCCTAGTCTTCAGTCTACTTTTGTGTTCGGCGGGCGGAAAGGCCTAGTTTCCGCTCCGCGCTGCGGACAGGCTGTTGATTATGGTCGGAAAGAACGAGTTTCCGATCCATGTTCCCGAAGTCATTACTTTGAGTGTGTGGCAGGCGGAAAGCTCTAGTTTCCGCTCCGCGCTGTGGACAAGCTGTTGATCATGATTGGAAAGGCCGAGTTTCCGATCCATGCTCGTATTGTGTTACGCGGTCGCGAAAATATACGAAGCCGATTACAATTGCACTAAGCAGTCATAGATATTGTGTAATTTATCGTTCCCGGTTGCAGATATTAATTTATTTAGTTACAAAAAAGCGATTCACGTTTACGTTTACCTCATAAAATGAACAGAAATACAGTTCACCAGCTGAACGATAAGGTGCAATGTAAGGGTTTACATGTTATTTATTCAAAATCTCAAGTAAGGTTTTCTTAATGGTAAAATGTGAGTCGTAGGTGTCAAAATAGTCGTAATGCTTATTAAAGTCCTGGCATAGGAAACTAAAAGCATCATGCATTTCAAAATTTGTTACTATCAAGACCAGATGAATTTTCGTGGCCCCAACGTTTAGGGTTGCCAGATTTTTTATGCACGAAATCAGTACGTTTGACTTTTTCATGCTAAAACAAGAAATTTTTAGCAAAAAAAAACCGACTTCAACTCCCATATAAAAAAAAAAATTATATATATATATATCTCATGATCCGCTGATCGGATCTTAACCAGATTAGTATGGGACTACCTCTGAGACACTACCTTTCCGATGCAAAAAGAATTATCGAAATCGGTTAACGTGGTCCAAAGTTATGCGGTAACATACATTAAAAAAAAAAATAATAAATAAAAAAAAAAAAAAAATATTCCGACGAACTGATAACCTCCTCCTTTTTTGGAAGTCGGTTAAAAATCAGTACTTATCAGTATACTTTTTTATAAAGCAAAATTATGAATGTAAGTAACAGATAATGCTCTAAAACGCCTGAGTACTTGTTTTCACCAATATTTTGGTATACATAAAATATAGCTCATAAAAAATAAAAGTGTTATTCATTTTAACATTAGTGTACACATCATTGTACACAGAAGCCATAAATTATTTTATATTTATGACATATTTGAATAGCGATAATGAGATGGTTCAATCTTCAGTGTTTAAATAGTCAAAGAATTCTATACATTTCATTTTAAAATTACTTTTAATTTGAAGTTTACTTTAAAAAATTGAAATTAGAAGCCGGTTTCTCTCTTTGCGTCAGGAAGCAAACTTTATACTTAAGATTCTCTCAGTTGTTTCGTTTGAGTGTGGTATTGAAAAAAAAAATTACATGTTTTTTCAAACTGTGGAAAAGTACCACTATCTAAGGATAGGATATTTCCTCATGGCTTAAATTATTTTTTTCAACTTCGCAAAAACTTTGAAGACTAAGAATTCGCTAAAAAGAATATCTAACTCTATGTCTTGTATACAATGCTCTTTTAAAATGTCAGTAAATTTTGAAAAAAGAATTGTAAGTTATAGGCAAAAGCCATTCGAATATTAAAATTAGCTGTTATTAAACTGAAAAATTTTTCGAGATAACTAACAACACTCGACGAAAAACGTCATCCTTCTTTTTAAATAATCTAAGCTCCATCATATTATCGCAACTGGTACGTAACGACCTGGCGATGTGCCCATAAAACAATTGATCTTTTTGTTATATTATTTTCTTGGACATATCAAATATTATTTGAAACATGTCAACTATAATTAAATTATTTTCTTCTTACTTTTTACAGTGCAGTTTAAGCAAGTTGCAACGTCATGTAAAAACCTTAAGAGAATCCTAAAGTATTTTGTTTGAGTGGAAAATTCAGTACAAATCAGTACAAATTTTGAAAAATCTGGACATTAGCGTACTGATTGAAGTTATGAATAAAATCAGTACAAGAGTTGAAAAATCAGTACTGTACTGATAAAATCACTACGTCTGGCAACCGTACCCACGAACAACTCGTGGACCTCATATTTTTTCACGCCAACGTATACCCCTGTCGAGTCTCCCGTGGACCCCTGGGGATCCACCTGGATGACTTTGGGAATCACCGTAGTATACGGAAAATTTTATTTTTCTTTTAGAATAACGTCTTCTCCGGCTATTTGGTATACAGGTATGTAGAGCTATGAATTAAAAAAAAACATTAGGTATTAGTTAAGATGTTGGCCTTGGACCACTATGTTCTGTAAATTTCCTAGTACTGCAAAGCTTTTGCTATTCACTTGGGAGTGACCAGAAGTGATTTATTTTCTTACGGTTCAAATCGCAGCTCAACTCGTCTGGATATTTATATCCACGTATCCCCTAGGTAGCGATCAAACACCCTTTTGAGAGCGAGCTAATGTTACAAGACGTATAACCCCGACTGCGCTGGGTTTGGGTCCCCGCACGTTAAACCCTGCCCAATGAAAAAAACCATGCCTCGGATGATACCCTCTTCTTTTGATTACGATCACGGCAAACGTAGAAAGGACTATGATTTGAGGGTATGCATCTGGAATATTCGGACCCTTAATAGGGATGGTGCCTCTGCCCAGTTGGTTGATGTCTTCGGGAAAATAAAGACTGACATCACCGCCATCCATGAAATGCGATGGACGGAGCAAGGCAAGGTAAGCGTGGCCAATTTGTTTCATTTTCCGATTGTCTCGTGGCCGATTTGGCTCATATTCGTGATATAAATATGTATATTGGTAAAGGTAGGGGCAATATCTACTATTGCACAAAGAGTTGCAAGGTGGCGCTGGAGTCGAGTTATTGGTAAAAATCGCCAAGTGAAGTCAATCGGAGACACCAAGGATCAAAGTTAAATTACCACCGTTTAATCAATCACCTGAACGATTGCGATCCTTGCTTCACGGCGACTAAAAAGAATAAAGACAATTCTTGATAAATGCCTACAAATACAATTGTAACAATTCTAAGGTATTTCGTCTTAAATAAGTCTATGTATATTGGATTTCTGTGGACTAATGATACTCCCCAATTTTGAAATTGCCACAAATTGTACTATACAGATTCAAGGATGATTCACCATCGGACCAGATAATTGTTGCCACAAGAACTTCTGGATGGCAATGGAGGATATGCCTTCTGACGACCACAAAACCAAACGTGAACGTGATTGTTGGTAAAAACGTTGGACCAAGACGAAGATCGTAAAGACTGCTAGTAATAATATAAACACCGATTGGGGGTTTGTTTTAACTCGTAACTTCCATTCCAAAGGTTTGTCTCTACGGGTATGCATTGGTGTTATTGAAGAGATTAAAAATAATTAACTCAAACGAAGGATAACAAATATTTGAAACAATTAAATTCAGTCTTGAAAAGAAATTAAGGATTCATATCTTAGTGTAATATAATCCGCATTATTTTGAATAATAGTAAAAAAGTGGCAACTAAATCGATGCATTAACACCACTGAAAATATGAAAATCTCGAATTCCGTCCAATCCTTGAAATAAGCTGAATAAAAAACAAAACATTAAACTGTACTTAAATTTTTGGTTGTTTTTCGAGCATATTTGGAAGCATATTTACTAATGTAAGTGCTTGAATTTGCTTTTTTCCGGCTTATTTTCTTTGGTCCTGCTCATCACACATCACTTTAACTCAAACACCACCTTGAAGTTTTTCCAAAGTACTGGTTAATCAAAATGCGAAGTGTTCAAATTTTGCGTGCGTGGCATGCATAAACAAAGAAAGTTTGTAGGTATTGAGGTAAAATTAATTTGAAGTTGCCCTTAACAATGTTTTGTTTTAGAGACTTGCATTAATCAAACTACGAAAAACGAGTTTTTATACCTTAAGTCCAGATTGTGAGGGGGTATTCAAAATTCTAAGTATGCATATTTTTTGTGCATCATTAGATCTATAACTTTATCAGTCACACAGTGTTATTATCCCGACAAAATCCTTGACGGTGGTACCGGGTAGGGAACGGTACATGACGATAGGAGGTTTAGTTTGGGTTAAAGTCTCACACTGAAGGGGTTAGGCTTTCGATGCTTCCTTCCCGTAAAATAAAACATGTGCAGTAAAAAGTTATTTATTTAAATCGACGAATAGTTTTATTATCAACTTTTGTGAACTTCTATTTATGTTTTTGCGTACAACATACCTCTATTGGTTACAATAATTTTAAGCTATGATAACAATTTTTTAGTAATAATTATTGGTTTTGAAAAAATTGTTGTATAGGCCCGCAGCGGCCCCCCTAAATTTTGTTCTGGCTACGCCCATGAACATGACAGATGAGGTTTTGACAATATTCTCTGATTCAGCATATTCTCTGAAACAGCAGTTAGAGGAAAAAGGTTGCATACTTTTGGGTACCAAAAAATCGCTTATTTCCGCATTGAATGATGACCATTAATATAACGAGGACTTATATTCAATATCCTCTATCTGGACTTTTCACAAAAACTACGTTGTGATGTTAGAACCCATATGGGACTTACCTGTCATCATTGATGTTAATTCTGATGTTAATTTAATAGTAAATTCTTCTGTCAAGCACTATACAAGGTCAGCATTAATATCACCGATGACAGTTAAGTCTTTGGTGGATTTTTATATTCGAGTCTCATTTTTGTGAAACGTGCAGATAGAGGGTATTGAATATAAGCCCTCGATAAGTTTCTCGAAAAAGAATTGTTATAAAGCAATTTGTTTATATGTACTTAAATTTGTCTCTCAATTGACACCTGCTTTATTCTATTTAGTATGTATGACACATAACAAATAAGGGACAATGCGTATACATATGTATCAATATGACATGCCTGCTTTCTGAACATATTGTATATCCTTATGTTTGTACATAATGGATACAATATGTATGTAAATATGTATATGCTCAGAGTACATTTGTTGAGGAATGTCACTGTGGTGTGCCGGCTGTGAGTAGATTTTTAGGTCATTATATGAAGTAACGGAACGAAAAGGAAAATCGATAGCCTCTTAGAGAGCAACGAAGTTGGAGGAGGAAAACTAATAAATGGACTTGTTATGGCATAATTTCAATGCGTAAAAAAGGATGTGCTTATGAATTTGAACTGGGTTAATGAAAAGTATATTTTTCACATTTTCATCCTTCCATACTCGATATGGAAGCATTTTAGCTTATTCAAATCCATATGTATATGTACAATTAAATGCGCACGTATACAATTACATATTTGTGTAGCACTTTGACACGGAATTTACTGTGATTTCCTAGAAGATACTTTACCTTTTCACTTTTTCTTTAACATTTCTTACCTCTATATTAAAATATTTACGCGACATTCATAACAACCGTTTGGAGAGTTGCAGGCAATGAATACTTCAAGTCTTAAAAGAAATATTTGACTAACGGGTTATATATATGCACGGATTCAGTTAAATACATACTACAAAGCTGTAGTGCTAGTTTTTAAGCTGCTTCGTAGAAATTTTTATACTATTTAAATTTCATATCTTTATGTATTTGATTTTCGTAATTTATTGACACTTTCCTAATTTAACATATTTTTATATGTATGTATGTACATATTTTCTTCCAATAACAAAAATGCGTCTACACGAGCGAAAGTCACTTGATGTTCTAAATAACATCAGTTGTTCGAAATTCGACTATCCTTTTTCCTTCCACTCAGTCCTTTACTCTGAACAATGTTGTAGCATTTGTAGTTTTGCCCTCCATATTAATGTTTGTATGTATATGTATATTCCGAAAGCAAAAAATATGGGGATTGTCTTATCCCATCGCCGAAAAGTATGCTACTCAGTTCAAACAGTGAAGTATGTGTGTGGTGCAATTTCATGTGTTTCTCAGAAAATTTGAAAAGGTCTTTAAAAAAATTGTTTTTGACATCTGGGCGTCTTTCGGCCAACACCGCGAGAACGCAAAACCCCTATTTCCGTTCCCGAAGCTAAACGACATATCGTATAAAATTATAAATTTAATATTTGAGCAGTAGCTCACTTAATATTTTTTCAGTTATCAAAGGAAAACATATTTAGTATGCATATCGTCGTTTAAAGCATGATAAAAATATAGTAAGGTAGAACCGCTGAGAGTCACTTTTAAAATTCTTGACGTTTCCAAACAATTTAATTTTTAAATTTACTCACAAACTCACACACACATTTTCATTTTCAATCTCAAGCAACAACAATTTCGAACAATTTCAATTTTTTTATTTTCACTTTTATATGATTTTAAAATGTTGGCAAACTTCAAAAAAAAATCATGGCCGACAAATTGAGAGAACGGTTCTACCTTGCTATATTTTTATCATGGTTTAAAGTACAAAACCGCGTATCAACAAAATGCAAAACCGCGTATGTCAGGTTGCATAAATTATTTTCTAGAGAGTAAAAACACTCATATTTCAAAATGGTTCTCATTTTTATAAAGCAATCGCATTTCCGGTTAGTATATTTCAGGACGAATGGATAAGGCTTGAGCCAAGAGCTTGTGTGAGCAACGACGATACGCGGGTTTGTTCTTTAAACGACGATATGTTTATTTATTAGTTAAAAGCCGCTTGTTATTCATTATTCTCCTGACCATTTGACAGTTTTCACATGCCCCTAAACCACACTCAGCTAAAGCCCCTGTCCCTATGGACAAACCCTATAGAATCTGCAGGCTTCCTGGGTCTCCCTTGACAACGATTGAGGGACTAGCCGATCTAGGCGAGGTTGGATAACCGCTACAATAACAATAGTCTTCACAAACTTGCCCGGAAAAATAGTCTGGGCGATCTCGGGTTCTCATCAGCCCGAGAATCAGTAAACACACCAAAATTTATCTGATATACGGTGTTTACATGAGGCGATTTTACAGGCAACTTTTAGTTGAAAGCAACAATCGCCTGGTGTGAACGGCCTCTCAACTAATCGCTTCCAATGAAGTGGGGGAAGCCAACTTTTGATTCAACTAATGTGAACACCGTTTTAGATCCAGATCTACATGATTATTGGTCATGCTGAATACAAACTTGGTGGCAAGTCATAGATGCACATAAAAACATTAAAGTTGAGCATATCGACAAGTCCTGCGTTTATGGTGAGCTATGGGTTCAGGGCATATTTCCTAGATACACATATTTACGTACAGTTACTTCAAATTAGCACCTGGCATATTAAGTAGATACATATACTATGATTATATATTATACTTCATGGAACTAGCTATTCCGGACGATGTAAGAACTTATGGCCGATTCTAAGATCCGAAGTTTGGTTTGAAAAAAGGATTGAAAGGACATGGTGTCTTTCAGGAAATTACAAAGGATGTGTTACAAATGGACAATTAAATAAACTAGAATTTAAAACCAACTAATGTGTTATTTATTTTACACATTTTATAACCTCACATGGATTTTGAGTATCCCTCCAATTCCAATTTATTAAAGGAACAACTTCAGAGTATTTTGAGTTTCTTTTACGCTACTAGCATCATTTGGTATTTCGTAAGAACTTAGAATTTAGTTTACAATTCTTTAAATTGAAACTACTGACCCGGAGCAAAAAAAAAATAACTTAAATATAAATTTCAAAAAAATATGTTACAATTTAAATATAAATTTAATGGCTAAAACAATTTTAGACAAGTATTTGTACAATAAACTAAAACTTAGGTATAACATGCTATTGATACGTGTTGACAGCCATTGAAACATTTTCACAGTCCATTGTAAATCCGATTTATGGATGCTTGGCCAAGTATTTTTTTGAGTTCTAAAATGAAAGCAATATGAAATTCGTATAGTTATCTTTACAATTGTATTATTGATAACTTATGGCGTTTTCTTTTCTCGAATAAATATCCCCTCTTATATGGCAACATTATCAGAGGGCAACATTTTAAAGAAAGAGCACGCAATATCCATGTGAAGATGCAAAGAAAAGAACACGAAAACTTGACAGCCTTGGCTCAGGGATGAATAAATGCAACATTGTTTCGAGAAAAGACAACGCAATTAAACAATACGCCCTCAAATAACGCTCTTAGTTACAGATAATAATATTAATTTACTAACCTTCCTTTTCTGAGTCATCTAAGTCCTTCTTCGGGAACTCCACATCGAATGTTATATACAAGTTGCCTTGCAAATTGTTGTTCTCGTAATTTGACATGCCCTCGCCCTTCTTACGTATCCGTGCTCCGGGCGATGTTATTTTTTCACGTGTAATACTAACTTGGTGCCCATCTAAATGCGTAATATTCATTGTGAAACCAATAAGAGCGTCCTAACACAGGAAGAAATTATTTTTTATGTTTCTTTTAATATGAATTGCTTAGTATGTATGTAGGTACATGTACTTACTTGTAAGCTTATTGTAACGTTTGTATACAAATCATCTCCTTTGCGCTGGAAACGATCATGGGGTGTTTGTAGCACCTTAATTATGAGATCACCTGGCTCCCCATCCAAATGGGGTTCGCCTTCAGCAACAAACTTCGTTTCTTGCCCATCTACCATACCGGCTTCAACTTCAAATTCTAATGTACGTTCCTCGTTGACAAGTTTAACGTTCGGACATTCATCACAGACCGTTTGTTGTATCATTTGGAAACGACCAGGTCCCAGATTGCGTGTCACCATCTCTTGCCGGCAGTTGCATTTGCGTGTTCCTGAAGCCGGTTTCAATACCGGCTTGTTTCGGACGATTTCTACAAAGTTGCCTGAATATAATTCTTCCAAAGTGACATAAAGATTCATAACAATATTCGCTCCGCGAGCCGTTTGATGTTCTTGTGGATCACCATTTCCAAAGTGAAAGCCGAAATCGCCGAAAAAGCTGGCGAAAGGATCAGCGCCATGATCCATCATACCATCCTTCTTCAAACATTCTTCGCCACACCTATCGTACGTTTTTCGCTTATCTGGGTCGGAAAGCACTTCATAAGCAGCACCCAAATCTTGAAACTTTTCTGATGATGAAGGATCATCTTTATTTTTGTCTGGATGCAGTTCTTTTGCCAACTTTCTATATGCTTTCTTGATCTCATTGGTTGATGCCGACTTGCGCACATTCAGAATTTTGTAAAAGTCTCGGCCCGCACATGCAAAACCCAATAGGCAAAAAGTGATTTGCACCAGTAATATGAACGTCAGGCTATTCATGTTGTTTACTTTATCACTCAAAATGTACCAGTTAGTTAATATAACAAATAGTTATCATAATTTCCAGGATTCTTTTATTTAATTCTAATCTGTGAACTATGTTGGCAAATGTGCAAACGACATATATGAACTTGTATTGCTTCTGTGTGCGTGTGCGTGGTCGAAGCTGATTGGTTGATGCTCGGCTGTCAAAAACGCAAGGTTGCATAATGAGAATAGGTTTGTTCCACACGAACTCAAGGGTATGCACAATGCCCGCGGGAGCCAAAACGGGTACTCTTTAGTACGTTGCCGGTCTATTTCGAGGTATTGCGTCCAAAGGGGTGACCCGATCCAAAAAATATTTGCACACACTTCTAGTCAAGGGTCTACACATTATTTTAACACCCAATTTTTTAATTTTTGATCACTAATTTATTTACAAAACGGGTTTGAAATATGCCCTGTTTTGTAAAATTCGGAAATTAGCGTACATTTATGACTCCTATTCTCCTTAAAGCAACCACTTCACCAATACATTTTTGGATTCCTCTTCACTTTACACTTCACTCGATTAGTTATAACTTGCTTTACGACTTTAATATTAATCAATTAATCACAATTCAATAAATAATAACACATTCAAAATCACGCATCTGACTTTGGTTGCATATGCAAATTAAATGGCGGAGTTCAGCTGTCAAACCAGCGTTGCCAGGTTGATATTTTTAACGTCATTTGGACGTTTTTTGTATCCTGTTGACGTTTGGACGTTTTTTGTGTAAAAAATGACGTTTTTTAACTTCCCAGTAATTTTCTCTATGTACGATATATTCAATGTATAGCGTATTATTTGCTGGTAGAGTACATAAGTACTTACGCTCACACTTTCGGCAAATTTGTTACTAAATCTTGTAAGTAGAACTGATTTTGAATTATTTTCTTAATAAGGCTTTACAAGCTTTGTTCTTTGCAGCAGGTGCCTCAACAGATATTTATTATTTGGACACATATGACTTAATTCTTGGACTAAGGATCCCGCGTTCAAAGGCTGGTTGTGTAAACACTTGAGGTTACAAGGCTTATTACAATGTGTGCAATTGCATATTAAAACCCAAATCAGGAAGAGCTGATCTATTGCAACACGCACGCTCGCAAAAGCACTATGTTCCTTCATAATAATAATAATAATAGATTGGTGCTTACACATATGTTAGTGTAAACGCTGAACTCGGCGAAGACTCGAAAATAACACATCAATGGCGTACTTATCGATTGCGGTTTATTTCTATTAAAGAG